AGTGGACTTGATACATCCTCAAACGTTTCGCCGGCATCGTAGTCGGCATCATCAGTGAGTTTTGCCATTCTCCACAACAAGATACAAACTCGTCAAAGAGAGCATCAGATAGTGGACAGAATGAATCAAGTCCACTGTCAGATGCTGGGAATAATGACAACTACTATGGCAGACGACTTCGGACTAGGTGCGTCTCCCTGAGAGCAAGACCAAGTTGCGACAACGAGGCCAACCCACTTCTATACCCAACCTAGTTCACTTTGTCTTGCTCACCAATGGCCCGGTGCTATAGCCAGACGAGCGATCAACCCCAGACAAACCATGCTGACTCGGTGGTTGATATCGTCGTGAGCAGAGATGGGGGCGCGGACTAGGCAGCGATGCGCCGCCAGCACGAGAAGACCAATCATGCTGGCTGGCAACTGGGGGACAGTAGGCATTCGATCGCTAAGCAGACTGGAAAATAGTAGATTGGCGCATGTCTCAAACCAAGGGTCTACGCTAGTCGTAGACGTGGTGGTGGAAGACGGAAGACCAAGAGAAGCCAAACAGACGGCATCCAGGTAGACGGAAAGCCAGGCCGAAAGAAGGATAAAGTGTTCGATACTGATGCAAAGATGGGAAAGAGATGGGAAAAATACAAATAAAAATAGTAAGAATATATATAAAAATAAATATATTTATTATAAAAGATGAGGATTGAAGCTCGTGAAGCTCGCTATCCGTCACTCAGATCATTATTACCTTAAATCTGGTTAAACACAAAGGAACTTGGAAAACTGTGATGGAGAGAAATAAAAACAATTTAACAGTCAAACTGAATGCTACCCCAAAGGGCAAGAGTTCCTAACGCACTTGTGTCAGTTGGCATCACTTCACATCACCTCGTTTCTCAAATAATAGGTCAATTTTCGTATACTGGATATAACTCCTTAAAGTGTTGACAAGCAGGAGGAGAGGGATGGTTATACCTTTGTATCAACCAATTCGTATGAAAATTAGAGCTAAGAGATTTACATATGACCATAACGTAAACCAACAGAGGAACGTATTGAAGTCATTGCGGATGTGAAACAAGAGAATATTATAATTAAGCTAAGTAGCCTCCGAAGCACTGCTTTTCGAGGCTGACTAATCCGTGTTGAGTTTTATGGTATAATAAGAGGTCATGTCCCAGCGAAGAGCTATGCTTGATAGCACCTCATCGAAAGACAATCGCATAGT